GTGCTGGGATTACAGGCTTGAGCCACCGCGCCCGGCTATATAATCTTTCTATATAATCCCATAGTAGTTTCTAGTAGGAGGAATGCCTAGAGCAGTCACAGAACAGAAGCAGTACATGGGAAAAACAGCCAGGCCAGGACAAGAACCAATGACCGAGGCCATAGCGCCCCTGCCTGAAAGGGCAAATGTTATATGGCAGGTCAGAGCCTAGACAGCAGCACTCAGTACCCGCTGCGTGGCCGGCTTGGAGCAAGAGTTATTCCTCCTGAAAAGGAGTGGCCATACCTTGCATCCTGTTCTTGTGGAAAGTAGGCCTCAGACATGACGGAGGGAGAAGAACCCCTCTGGTGTAAAAGTGCCATGGCAGCTGTACACCCTGTCAGCTTTTTCTCACTACTGGGCTGGGTCTAATCATCCCCCTATAAATTATCTTTGAGAAGAGCGCACTCTGTCAGCTCCCACTGCATTGGTTTATAGCATCCTTCTATGGGAATCCTTTGAAGTCTCCAGCCCTCAGATAAGAAGTGTTGGGCACATCTCAATTCCTTGCACCGGTGACCTAATGGGGGTGGGCTGCTTTTGTGCACAACCCTCTACTGGGGCGCACGGCATGGCCCCCTACTGCGCACAGCCCACCTCTCTGTCTAGGTGACTTAATGAGGTGGCCCCCTCGCTTGCTACTCACATGATTATGTATGCCCTATTGTTAAGACTGTAGATGACCTCACTCACGACCCTTCCCCCTGCCTTGGACCTAATAAATACAGACACTTCTGGATGCTCCGGGCCTCACCTGTCTCTGCTTGTAGGTGGCATCCTCCCCCCGCCCCCACCCCGGGGCCCAGCTGCTCTTTTCCAGTCCTTCTGTTTCCTGTCTCTTTATTTCTCGGATCCCTTGACTCAGCACAGAAATAGGGGACACCCCACGACCCTGTCGGGCTGTGGCCCTACACACATGTACCCCAGAACTTAAAGTATAATAATAAAAAAAATTTACCCAGATGTGATGGCATGTGCCTGTAGCCCCAGCTACCCAGGAGGCTGAGGTGGGAAGATCACTTGAGCCTGGGAGGTCAAGGCTGCAGTGAGCTGTGATTGCCCCACTGCTCTCTAGCCTGGATGACAGAGTGGGACCCTGTCTCGAAAGGAAAAAAAAATTTAAAATTATTCATCCCTAAGAAGACCCAAGGCTCCTTAAAAAATGGCTGGGGCTGGACAAGACCAAAGTAAGTCTGGGGCCAGACGCGGTGGCTCAATCCCAGCACTTTGGGAGGCCAAGGCAGGTGGATCACCTGAGGTCAGGACTTCAGGACCAGCCTGGACAACATGGTGAAACCCCTTCTCTACTAAAAATACAAAAATCAGTCGGGCATGGTGGCGCATGCCTGTAATCCCAGCTGCTTGGGAGGCTGAGACAGGAGAATTGCTTGAACCCAGAAGGCGGAGGTTGAGGTGAGCCGAGAGAGCGCAGCGGCACTCCAGCCTGGGTAGTAAAGTGAGACTCCGTCTCAAATAATAATGATAATAATAAAGTGAGTCTGGAACGTTTTGTACCTGACAGTAAGGATAATGATAATATCATTATTATTAGGATTACTCTTATGATAATATCATTATTTTTAGGAGTATAAGGATAATAATGATAATAATAAAGTGAGTCTGGAACATTTTGTACCTGACAGTAAGGATAATGATAATACCATTATTATTAGGATTATTATGATAATATCACTATTTTTAGGATTATAAGGATAATACTGATAATAACAAAGTGAGTCTGGAACATTTTGTACCTGACAGTATTCAAATCATGATGCAGAAATGTCAAAGGACACAGGAGCTAATTGGCCCAATCTGGAACAATTTGGACATTTTTATATTTATGTATTTAAAGACAGAGTCTCGCTCTTGTCACCCAGGCTGCAGTGCAGTGGCGTGATCTTGGCTCACTGCAGCCTCTGCCTCCCAGTTCAAGCAATTCTCATGCCTCAGCCTCCGGAGTAGCTGGAATTACAGGTGTGCACCACCACGCCCGGCTGATTTTTGTTTTTTTAGTAGAGATGGGGTTTCACCATGTTGGCCAGGCTGGTCTCTTAACTCCAGACTGCAAGTGATCCACCTGCCTCAGCCTCCCAAAGTGCTGGGATTACAGGTGTGAGCCACTAAGCCCGGCGATAATTTGATTTTATATGTTTTTTTTTTTTTTTTTTTTTTGAGACAGGGTCTCCCTCTGTTGCCCAGGTTGGAGTGCAGTGGCATGATCATGACCTACCTTAGCCCCGGAGTAGGGGGCGCTATAGGCATGCACCAACATGCCCAGCTAATTTTTGTTTTTGTTTTAGGGACAAAGAAGTTTCACCATGTTGCCTAGGCTGGTCTCAAACTCCTGGGCTCAAAGGTCCAAACTGCTGAGATTACAAGCATGAACCGCTGTGCCTGGCTGTTACATTTCATTTCTTTTGAGATGGAGTCTTGCCCTGTCACCCAGGCTGGAGTGCAATGGGACTATCTCGGGTTCCAGCGATTCTCCTGCCTCAGCCTCCAGAGTAGCTGGGACTACAGGTGCGCGCCACCACGCCCAGCTAATTTTTGTATTTTTAGTAGAGACAGGGTTTCACCATGTTGGCCAGGATGGTCTTGATCTCTTGACCTCATGATCTGCCCGCATCGGCCTCCCAAAGTCCTGGGATTACAGGCATGAGCCACTGCACCTGGCCTTTAAAAAAATTTTTTTAATGAGACAGTGTCTTGCCATGTTGCCCAGACTCATCTCAATTCCTAGGCTAAGGCTAGACTCCTGCCTTGGCCTTCCAAAGTGCTGGGATTACAGGCCACTGCACCCAGCCCTATTTACTTTTTTTTTTTTTTTTTTGAGACGGAGTCCCACTCTGTTGCCTATGCTGGAGTGCAGTGGTGCAATTTCAGCTCACTGCACCCTCCACCTCCCGGGTTCAAGCGATTCTTCTGCCTCAGCCTCCTGAGTAGCTGGGATTACAGGCGCACACCACCATGCCCAGCTAATCTTTTTTTGTACTTTTGTACTTTTAGTAGAGATGGGGTTTCACCATGTTGGCCAGGCTGGCCTCGAACTCCTGACCTCGTGACCCACCCGCCTCAGCCTCTCAAAGTCTTGGGATTGCAGGTGTGAGCCACTGTGCCTGGCTCCTATTCACATTTTTTAAAGAAAAGATAAAATGGAACATGGCCAGGCGTGGTGGCTCACGCCTGTAATCCTAGCACTTTGAGAGGCCGAGGTGGGTGGATCACCTGAGGTCAGGAGTTCAAGACCAGCCTGGCCATCATGGTGAAACCCCATCCTTAAAAAAAAGAAAAGATAAAATGGAACAGTAGGACTTGGACTATAGCCTCATCCATGATGCCTGGAGCCCCTGTGAGAAATGAGGAGAATCACTCTGGGGAATAAACAAATGTGTGGCTGCCAGGGCCTGAGGGGATGGGGAGATGATGAAAGATGCTTACTGGACATGAGGTTTCCAATTGGGGTAAGAAAGTTCAGAGCTGGATGGTGGGGACTGCTCAGCACTGTGAATGTACTCAGTACTCAGCACCAATGAACTACAACACTTGACAGTGGTGACAAAAGTTAACTTTTGGCCAGGTGCCGCGGCTAACGCCTGTAATTCCAGCATTTTGGGAGGCTAAGGAATTTGAAACCAGCCTGGCCAACATGGTGAAACCCCATCTCTAATAAAACGTCAAAAATTAGTCAGGCATGGTGGTGCATGCCTGTAATCCCAGCTACTTGGGTGGCTGAGGCAAAAGAATCGCTTGAACCCAGGAGGTGGAGGTTGCAGTGAGCCGAAATTGCACCACTGCCCTCCAGCCCTGGTGACAGAGCGAGACTGTTTCAAAACAAAAACAAAAACAAAACACACACACACACACACACACACACCTTTTTTTATGTATTTTACAAGTGGAAAAAATTCATGAATCTTTGAACTACTTGGATTAGTGGAAAACACATCCATGGGTTGCATTTGGTGTACACAGTTTTTTTTTGAGATGAAGTCTTGCTCTGTCGCCCAGGCTGGAGTGCAGTGGTGCAATTTTGGCTCACTGCAACCTCCTCCTCCCAGGTTCAAGGAATTCTCCTGTCTCAGCCTCCCGAGTAGCTGGGACTACAGGCACCTGCCATCACGCCCAGCTAATGTTTGTATTTTTAGTAGGGACAGGGTTTCACCTTGTTGGTCATACTGGTCTCGAACTCCTGACCTCAGGTGATCCACTCACCTCAGCCTCCCAAAGTGCTGGGATTACAGGCATGAGCCACTGTGCCTGGCGTGGTTGTTACTTTTTAATTTAAAAATATTGTTTAGGCCGGGCGTGGTGGCTCAAGCCTGTAATCCCAGCACTTTGGGAGGCCGAGGTGGGTGGATCACGAGGTCAAGAGATCGACACCATCCTGGTCAACATGGCGAAACTCCGTCTCTACTAAAAATACAAAACATTAGCTGGGCATGGTGGCGCGTGACTGTAATCCCAGCTACTCAGGAGGCTGAGACAGGAGAATTCCTTGAACCCGGGAGGAGGAGGCTGCAGTGAGCCGAGATCGCGCCATTGCACTCCAGCCTGGGTAACAAGAGCAAAACTCCACCTAAAAAAAAAAAAACAAAAAAACAAAAAAACAAAAAAACACCACAAACATATATATATATATATATATATATATATATATTAGTTTAGATAGAGACAGGGTCTTGCTATGTTGCCCAGGCTGGTCTCAAAACTCCTAGCCTCAAGTGATCCTTCGGCCTCGGCCTCCCAAAGTGCTGGGATAAGAGGTATGAGCACCCAATGAAAAGTATAATTTGAACTATGTGACAGCTTCAAAGGGAGGCAGGAAATCACTGTGATGAAGCCCATGCTGTGGGAGTCAAAGGATGGGTAGGCCCAGCCCACAGTGACCCCACAAGCGCTCAACCACCCCTCACCCCGCCCCCAACCTTTAAGAAGGAAGCACTCAGATACCAACAGGACGTATTTCAAATAGTTTAATTTTAAAAATATTCTATTCAGTGCTAAAATATGTCTTCACTCACTGTTGCCCATTTCCATTTTCTTAAACTTTTTTGAAACAAAAAATAAAATCACAAAGTTCAATTCAACATGCAGATTTCAAAGAAAAGGGAGCTTTCTAGAAACCGAGCTGAAGGAGTACTGTGGGGGACAGGCACTGTCGTCAGAACCTCCAATTCTTGCTGGGGCGGTTTGTGGCAGAAGGCAGGGATGCCGGAACGACAGTACAGGTGAGAACGAAGAAAGCTGCATGTGTGCGGACATGTGTGCTGAGGGCAGGGGACCGGGGCGGTGGGCACAAAGGACTGTCAGCAGCTAGGGTGCCCATGAGAGGCAGGCCCACCTCAGGCATGGGTGGCATTGCCAGGACAGGACAGCAAGAATCTAGACAGCCTCTGCCCTTGTGTGGAGAGAAGCCCTTCCCTCCCCTCCAACGTCGCTACACAGTCCTCCTCCAGCAGCAGCCTGCAGGGCCCCCAGCCCTAGGGGAAAGTCCAGGAGTCTACAGTCTTCATTCAAGTTCAAGTAACCCTAGGCACTCTCTCTTCTGGAGGGCGCCTTCCACATCTCTCTTCTCATGGAAGCTGCCAGCAGCTCGGTCCAGACGTTCTGGAGCAGAGACTGCTGCCTGGAGGTGACAGATGAATCTTGGGGTGGCCAACGCTCCAGCCAACTTGGGGTGCAAAAAAGACATGAGCACTCCTCTTCTCGGGAGCAAGTAGACACAGGTGCGAGGGACGGGACGATGGTGCGACAGCCCCAAGTCCTATGCCGGCCTTCCAGCCCGGAAGGCTCATGTGTGCAGGCTCTCGACCCCAGTGCTTGCCCCTCCCCCAGCAACACAGCGCAGCCAGAACCAGAATGCAATAAATAGAGGCGGGGCCAGGAGGCAGAGGGCTGGGACAGTGCTAGCTCTCTGACGCTGTCTGCGGCACTGTGGGTTGGTCCACACAGAAGCGCTTCAGGGGTGGGGCACCTGAGTCTTCGTCCTCTTCAGCGACCTAGGAGCAGGCAGAGCATGGAATAATGACAGGGCCACCCCTCCCAACCAGAGCCTTACCACCCCCCTAAATTGTAATAGGATGCCCATCCTGCTCCTTCTCACAAATGATCCAACTTCCTCCCCTGCCTACATTCCTGGGACTCCAGTTTCCAGTGCCGCAGATCCAGTCCCATATCCACAGTCTTTCCTGTTTTTCCTGGGAAACCTGGCTGGGTACAGTGGCTCATGCCTGTAATCCCAGCACTTTGAGAGGCTGAGGCAGGCAGATCACTTGAGCTCAGGAGACCAGCCTGGCAAACACGGTGAAACCCCATCTCTACTAAAAATACAAAAATTAGCCGGGTGTGGTTGCAGGCACCTGTAATTCCAGCTATTCGGGAGGCTGAGGCAGGAGAATCACTTGAAGCCGGGAGGTGGAGGTTGCAGTGAGCCAAGATCATGCCACTGCACTCCAGCCTGGGCAACAGGGAGACCCCGTCTTAAACAAACAAAGAAAAAACCAAAAAACTCGGCCGGGCATGGTGCTCACGCCTATAATCCAAGCACTTTGGAGGCCAAGGCGGGGGGATCACCTGAGGTCGGGAGTTCAAGACCAGCCTGACCAACACGGTGAAACCCCGTCTTTAAAAAAAAAAAAAAAAAAAAAAAAAAAAAAACAAAAAACTGGAAAGCCCCGAATGACTGCTTACCTGTGTCTCTAGCGGAACTGGTTCTTCCTTGGTGAGGGTGGGAGGTTCATCAGCAACTTCCGAGGAGGGCAGGGAAGGCTCTGAAAAGGCAGCAGGGTCAGCCTGAGGGCAGAGCCCCCCTAAGGCCTGGACCTGGGACGCTTCCCTGGAGCGGTGCGGGGCGGCTTGGCAGGGAGGAGAGGACACTCGCCTGGGAGGCGAACATTCACTCAGGGCCCGGCTGCACCAGGCCACAGCCAGGAACGGTGGAAGGGCAAAATATGGCTGGACTGCAGAGGGCCGTTTCTGCTGGGCTGGAGACATCCGGAACCAACCAAGCAGCTCACCCTGTCATCCTCCAGCCCAAACGTCAAGACTCTAACTCAATCTCCCAGCTTTCCAAGAGCTGCTGTGACGACTCGATGACGTAAGAAACACAGGCGCTAAGAACAGCGCGTGCCGAACAGCAAGAACACGATCCATATTGACCACGACTGGCACTTCCCATGGAGAAACAGGTTCCATTTTACAGTCGGCTGTGAAAAGGTCCCGGCACAGGGGAAGCTAACAAGGACCTGAGATACATCTACTTATCCATATCGTAACAAGACACCTGGGTTACGCGTGGTTGCTCACGCCAGAGTAGCTCCAGCGACTCTGGAGGCCGAGGTGGGAGGATCGCTTGAGCCCAGGAGTTCAAGACCAGCCTGGGCAACAGAGTGAGACCCCATTTCTACAAAAAATTAAAAGATACCCAGGCATGGTGGCACAAGCCTATGAGTCTGAGGCAAGAGGATCACTTGATCCCAAAAGTTCAAGACTGCAGTGAGCTAGGACTCAGCCACTGCATTCTAGCCTGGGCAACAGAGTAAGACCTTTTGTCTTTTTTTTTTTTTTTTTTTTTTTAAAAAAAAAAAGGAAAGGGGAAAAAATTTAGCAGGATGTAATGCAGACAGCATGAACTGAAGTTAGAAGGACTTAAAGTGACATTCATTCCAACAGTTACTAGACTAGCTATGTCATCTTAGATAAGCAATTTAACTTTTTTTTGAGACAGAGTCTCACTCTGTTGCCCAGGTTGGAGTGCACTGGTCTGATCTCAGCTCACTGCAACCTCTGTCTCTCATGTTCAAGCGATTCTTCTGCCTTAGCCTCCACAGTAGCTGGGATTACAGGCATACGCCACCATGCCTGGCTAAATTTTTTGTATTTTTAGTAGAGATGGGGTTTTGCCATGTTGGCCAGGCTGGTCTCGAACTCCTGGCTTCAAGTGACCCACCCACCTCGGCCTCCCAAAGTGCTGGGATTACAAGTGTGAGCCACCACCCCTGGCCTGATTTCACCTTTCTAAGCCTTGAACCTCCATTTTCCTTCATCTGTAAAGGAAGACAATAGCTGCTACCTCGCAGCCTTTTGAGAAAATTACACCCGGCATCAGATACTCAAGTTCTTTTCACAGAGCCTGGCACTCAACTCTAATGCTTGTTTTCTCCCTTCACTCTGTGAAAGGGTAAAATAGAATCATTCCTCAAAATATCCCAAGCTGTTGAGAAATGGCTCGATGCCGCCTGGCTCTAAGGCATTGTCTTGAACCTGTTACTCTGAAGATGAGAAGCAACAAGAGCAGGAAGCAAGGCCCTGCTAGGACACTCATCCGGGGCCAATCGTGACTCACCCTCCAGGATCTCCTGACCCAGGGTGGGGGGCTGGGAATCATCCGTGCGGAAGTCGGACGTGTGTGCTGGGCTCAGGGACTCACTCTGCTGGGGGCTGGGGCTTGAGTTGGTGCTGCTGTCCACCTTGAGCTGGTAGACATCAGACACGGAACTCTGGTTGCTGTTTTCATCTGAAAACCAAACAGAAGAAAGGCAGCAGCTGAGAGTGGCCACTTTCCTCAAGAGGAACTCTGGACAGAGCCACGGACCTGGCATCGCTTTAGGCAGCCAAGGATACAAGTGAGTATAATAATCATTGTGCCCAGCCTACACGACATATATTCTGAACACCAGAGGCAGCCAGAATCTTTACGTTTCTGCAATATTGCACTTCATGAAGGTCAGGCGATGCGTATTAAACACTTCTTTATTAGCCACCAACTGCAACGTATGGAAGGGAGGGGTGTAGCTGTGTCTCTGCTCAGTAGTTCCCAATCCTTCTCACATCACAAGATGTGTAGAAAATGACATTTGTGAGGCACCCTGGGGCATCTGAAGGACGCTGGTGGTATCTGAAGGTGGTGAGCTCAGGCTTCAGCTACCTGAGTGCTCCAAGGACTGATGGATTAACACCTAGGAGTTCTGCCTGAAGGCTTAAAGTCACCACCTAAGTTCAACACTTAAGAGTCACCAGGCCGGGCACGGTGGCTCAAGCCTGTAATCCCAGCACTTTGGGAGTCTGAGGCGGGTGGATCACGAGGTCGAGAGATCGAGACCATCCTGGTCAACATGGTGAAACCCCGTCTCTACTAAAAATACAAAAAATCAGCTGGGCATGGTGGCGCGTGCCTGTAATCCCAGCTACTCAGGAGGCTGAGGCAGGAGAATTGCCTGAACCCAGGAGGCGGAGGTTGCGGTGAGCCGAGATCGCGCCATTGCACTCCAGCCTGGGTAACGAGAGCGAAACTCCGTCTCAAAAAAAAAAGAGTCACCAGGCCGATGCAGTGGCTCACACCTGTAATCCTAACACTTTGGTTGGGAGGCTGAGGCAGGTGGATCACCTGAGGTTGGGAGTTCAAGACCAGCCTGACCAACATGGAGAAACCCGTCTCTACTAATACAAAAATCAGATGGGTGTGGTGGCACATACCTGTAATCCCAGCTCCCAGCTACTCAGGAGGCTGAGGCAGGAGAATCGCTTGAACCTGGGAGGCGGAGGTTGCGGTGAGCCGAGATCGCATCATTACACTCTAGCCTGGGTAACGAGAGCGAAACTCCTTCTCAAAAACAAAACCAAAAAAGGCTGGGCGTGGTAGCTCACAGCACTTTGGGAGGCTGAGGCAGGTGGATCGCCTGAAGTCAGGAGTTTGAGACCAGCCTGGCCAACATGGCGAAAACCCATCTTTACTTAAAATACAAAAATTAGCCGGACATGGTGGTGCATGCCTGTAATCCCAGCTACTATGTGGGCTGAGGGAGGAGAATCACTTTAACCTGGGAGGTGGAGGTTGTAGTGAGCCGAGATCGTGCCACTGCACTCCACCGTGGGCAAAGAATGAGACTCTGTCTCAAAAAAAAAAAAACCAAAAACCAAAAACCAAAAAAACCCAAAAAGCAAAGTAAGAGTCAACAATGCCTTCCTCTGCCTCACCTCCAGCAGCCGGTCACCAAACTGTTTTCTGCTCCTGCTCTGGTATCACTTGCATTCACTCCTTCCCGTCCTACTGCTTTAGCTCAAGCCTCATCATCTTCAGCCTGGCCTCCTGCCACAGCCACCTAACTGACTGGCCTGCCTCCAGTCTCGGGTCCCTTAAACTGAAATGCACGCCACTGCCAGAGGGACCTTTCTAAACCCTTCGATGCTCCCCTGCTGCCTAAGGGAGAAATGCCATACGCAGTACTTCTTAGGATAGGCACGACATGACCTTATGGCAACACAGACAGTCCTTTCTGATCTCTGGTCTCACTGCCTGCTGTTCTCCCATAAGCATCCTCAGCTCCAGGCAGGCTGGACCCTAACCCAACAGCTTCGTCATGTATGGGTGCTTCTGCCCAGCTGTTCCTTGGCTAGCCTGCTTTCTCTTGGCCTGGAAAGCCCAGATCTCCCAACACAGCTCCCACATCACTCCCTCGGCGGACTCCTGGCTTGCGTGGGTGGAAATGACCGTCCTCTCTTGTGCTCCCATGAGAGCCTGCGCACACCTGCGTTTATCACTTTGCACACGTGCATCCTCCCATGAGCCTCTGTATGGACAGACTCTGTGGCTCCCTTGTCCTTGACTCCCCAGTGCAACGCACAGTACCTGCATACAGTAGGAGTTCATTAAGTGTTTACTAAATGAAAAGGAGGAGATGGTGGCCAGACCGAGGAAATGGAGAGCCTCATGTGTCTCCCAGAGCTTTCTGATTACTGAACACACACACATTGGTGTCCTTTCCAACAGCACGTGGCTGACCTTGGTGGGGCCTGGGAGGTGGGGAAGGGATAATGACACGCAGGGTTAGCTCCAATCTGGTTTTGAAGAGAAGTCATAAACTTACTCTAGTATTTACTCCTACAAAGACCCTTAATACCCACACTAAAATGGAAGTAGCATTTTGTTACAAAACGAACAAAACTGTCATTTTTGAGCTTAGGCAAACACTGTTCCTCCCTGCGCACCAGCTTCCTTAAATAGGGATAATAACTGCCTGGTTCATACCATGGATTGATATATGGATAAAAATGAGAAAGTAAAGTAAAAGTGCTTCCTAGACAGCACCTAGCAGGTAGGTGTAAAAGCCAGTATTATGACTACGGTGCCGACAAGGTGGGATTGGCTTAGCAGGCAGAACTTGTCATAACAGTGGAGAGGCAGAAGCTTCGCCTTTGGGTAGCCTACTCTAAGCCACTATCATTAAACATAGTCTAGGGCGGCTGCAGTGGCTCATTCCTGTACCTTGGGAGGCCAAGGCCGGAGGACTGCTTGAGACCAGGAGTTCAAAACCAGCCTGGTCAACATAGCCAGACTCTGTCTCTACAAAAAATAAAGTACAATCTAACAAAAAGCTTCTGATTTGGACAACCAGGACCTGACACGGAGTCTGTCACTTACAAGTTAAGTAACTTCAGACACATAACTTCCAACTCTCTGAGCCTCAGTTTCCTTAACTGGAAAATGAGGATACCATTACCTATCTTGCATGGTTATAGTGAAGTTTAAATGAAAAAGTTTAAGTCAAGTGCCTAGCAAAATACCAGCAGAACATCAGGCACTGAAATGAAACACAGAATTTTTGTTTTTGAGACAGAGTCTCAGTTGCCCAGGCTGGAGTGCAGTGGTGCGATCTTGGCTCACCTCAACCTCCGCCTCCTGGGTTCAAGTGATTCTGCTGTCTCGGCCCCCCCGAGTAGCTGGGATTACAGGTGCGTGCCACCATGCTTGGCTAATTTTTTGTATTTTTAGTAGATACTGGGTTTCACCATGTTGGCCAGGCTGGTCTCAAACTCCTAACCTCAGGTGATCTGCCTGCCTTGGACTCCCCACTGCTGGGATTACAGGTGTGAGTCACCCCACCTGGCCAATTCTTCTTATTAATGCATTCATCCAAGTTTTTGTTCTCCTGCAAGGAAGATACAGAGATGCAACTCACCCTGAAATTCAAGGAGGAGAGAGGAATTGGCTGAGGCATCAGAGGGAAAGCCATTAGGTTCTCGGGCTGCTGAACTGTTCGATTTTGACTTTTCTTTCTAGAAAAGGAAAAAAAAAGGAATATGACAGAGCCAAGCAGGAGACTCACAGAGAGGGAGGAGGGTGCTATGTGCAGACCACAGAGGTCTGGATTAGGACTGAACAGGAAGAACGACAGCAGCATGAGAATCCAAGGACTCAAGGGAGAGCAGAATCCTGGACAAGGCGTTTCTCCTCAAGACTCAGGAAAATGAACCCTTCTAGCAAGAATGTCATGAGTCATAAGCAGCAGGCAGACACATACACCTTGACTAGAACATCCCATGGTATCCCTCTTCTGCTCTGATCAAACTGCTTTAGGCAACCCTTCTCTATACAAATGGGCAAGAAATACAGAGCACTCATTTGAGAAAGATTCCTGTTTCAGTAGCAGACTGGGGAAAAAAGTGAGAGAAGGAACTTCATGTAATGCGGACAGCGACGAGACAAATGGGCCTGGGTTAGCTCTATTCCTGATCCATCATCCTCATTCATTCAAAACAATCACCCCAGCCAGGCACTGTGGCTGACGCCTGTAATCCCAGAACTTTGGGAGGCCGAGGCAGATGCATCACCTGAAATCAGGAGTTCGAGACCAGCCTGGCCAACAGGGTGAAATCCCATCTCTACCACAAATATAAAAATCAGCTGGGTATGATGGCACATGCCTATAATCCCAGCTACTTGGGAGACTGAGGCAGGAGAATTGCTTGAACCCGGGAGGTGGAGGTTGCAGTGAACCAACGTGGCACTACTGTACTCCAGTCTGGGTGACAGAGGCTCCATCTCTAAATAAATAAATAAATAAATAAATAAAAATTCAAAAATTAGCCAGGTGTGGTGGCGTGAGCCTGTAATGCCAGCTACTCTAAAGGCTGAGACAGGAGAACTGCTTGAACCCAGCGGGTGGAGGTTGCAGTGAGCTGAGATCACGCCACTTCATAACAGCCTGGGCAAAAGAGAGAAACTCCGTCTCAAAAACAAAAACGGGGCCGGGCGCAGTGGCTCAAGCCTGTAATCCAAGCACTTTGGGAGGCCGAGGCGGGTGGATCATGAGGTCGAGAGATCGAGACCATCCTGGTCAACATGGTGAAACCCCGTCTCTACTAAAAATACAAAACAAGCTGGACATGGTGGCACGTGCCTGTAATCCCAGCTACTCAGGAGGCTGATGCAGGAGAATTGCTTGAACCCACAGCCTGGGTAACAAGGGCGAAACTCCATCTCAAAAAAAAAAAAACAAAAACAGCCGGGCGCGGTGGCTCAAGCCTGTAATCCACTTTGGGAGGCCGAGGCGAGTGGATCACGAGGTCAAGAGATCGAGACCATCCTGGTCAACATGGTGAAACCCCGTCTCTACTAAAGATACAAAAAATTAGCTGGGCATGGTGGCACATGCCTGTAATCCCAGCTACTCAGGAGGCTGAGGCAGGAGAATTGCTTGAACCCAGGAGGTGGAGGTTGCGGTGAGCCGAGATGGCGCCATTGCACTCCAGCCTGGGTAACAAGAGCGAAACTCCGTCTCAAAAAAAAAAAAAAAAAAACTGCCCCCTCTCCAACAACAAAAAAATACCAAAAACTAAAATGATCAAATGATCACTCCATGTCTATCTTTACTTATAACTTTTTTTCAAGAAGGATGTAGGTTATAAGTGCAGGGCAATCACAGTGGGACAGTGGGCAGGTAACCGCCAGCTTGCAACAATAAACTCAAGGGCCAGGTATAGTGGCTCACACCTGTACTCCTAGCACCTGGGGAGGCCAAGGCGGGAGGATCACTTGAGCCCAGGAGTTTGAGACCAGACTGGGTAACATAGTAAGCCCCTATCTCTACAAAAAATAAAAAATTAGCCACATACAGTGGCACATGCTGGTCGTCCCAGCTACTGAGAAGGCTGAGGTGGGAGGACCACTTGAGCCTGAGAGTTCAATGCTGCAGTGAGCCACGATTGTGCACTCAAGCCTGGGCAACAGAGTTTGGCCCTATCTCCAAAAAAAAAAAAAAAGCCCAGAGTAAATCCAAGCATATGCAAATGAGAGCATCTCAAAAGCCAAAAGTTTAAATCTCAGTAGCCTCAAATTTATCAGTTCAGGCCCGGTACGGTGGCTCACACCTGTAATCTAAGCACTGTGTGGGAGACTAAGGCCAGCGGATCACAAGGTCAGGAGTTCAAGATCAGCCTGACCAATACGGTGAAACCTCATCTCTACCAAAAAATACAAAAATTAGCTGGGCGTGGAGGCATGCGTCTATAATACCAGCTACTCAGGAGGCTGAGGCAGGGAGAATTGCTTGAACTTGGGAAGCGGAGGTTGAAGTGAGCCAAGATCTTGCCACTGCACTCCAGCCAGGGTGACAGTGAGACTCTGTCTCCAAAAAAAAAAAGATGGAGATCATTTCAACCTAAGGTGGAGGTTGCAGTAAGATGAGATTGTGCCACAGCATTCCAGCCTGGGTGACAAAGTGTCAAAAAAAAAAAAAAAAAAAAAAGTTGTTTTGAGGAAGAAGCAATTGAGGCAATTTGTTATGAAAAATATAACTGCTTGGCCGGGCGCAGTGGCTCAAGCCTGTAATCCCAGCACTTTGGGAGGCCGAGGCGGGTGGATCACGAGGTCAAGAGATCGAGACCATCCTGGTCAACATGGTGAAACCCCATCTCTACTAAAAATACAAAAAATTAGCTGGGCATGGTGGCGCGTGCCTGTAATCCCAGCTACTCAGGAGGCTGAGGCAGGAGAATCACTTGGACCCGGGAGGTGGAGGTTGCGGTGAGCTGAGATCATGCCACTGCACTCCAGCCTGGCCAACAACAGTGAAACTCCATCTCAAAAAAATAAAAAATAAAAAAATGTTAAAAATGAATATAGCCGTTACTCTGTCAAAAGTTAAGAAAAGAAAAGGAGCAGAAAGGTAGAAGAAACCTGGATTGCTAGAGACTGTCAGAGCTGAACCACCATACCACACCTGGATTTCCTCTAAGAAAACGAATAAAATACATGACTTTCTTAAACCATTGCTATTTTCAGTTTTCTGTCACTCACAGCTAAACCTAATCTTAACATGCACAATAAGCAAAAAATGTGAAACAGAGCAAAAGAGAATCAAAAGACACACCAGTCAAATTATAAATCGATGACCAGGCGTGATGGCTCACACCTGTAATCCCAGCACTTTGGGAGGCCAAGATGGGCGGGATCATTTGAGGTCAGGAGCTTGAGACCAGCCTGGCTAACATGGTCAAGCCACATCTCTACTACATATACAAAAATTAATTGGGCATGGTGGTGTGTGCCTGTAATCTCAGGAGGCTGAGGCAAGAAAATCACTTGAACCTAGAGGGTGAAGGTTGCAGTGAGCTGAGATTGCGCCACTGCACTCCAGTATGGGCGACAGAACAAGACTGTCTCATGACCAGGTGCAGTGGCTCACACCTGTAATCCCAGCACTTTGGGAGGCCGAGGAGGGTGGATCATGAAGTCAGGAGTTCAAAACCAACCTGGCCAACATGGTGAAGCCCTGTCTCTGTTAAAAATACAAAAATTAGCTGGGCGTGATGGCAGGTGCCTGTTCAGCTGCTCAGGAGGCTGAGACAGGAAAATCACTGGAACCCAGGAGGCAGAGGTTGCAGTGAGCTGAGACTGTACCACTGCACTTCAGCCTGGGGAACACAGTGAGACTCCGTCTCAAAAAAAAAAAAAAAAAAAAAAGGAAAAGAAAAAATCGACTCTCAAAAAAAATTAATCAACAGAAAGGTTAGAAATGGAAATATCAGCCAGGCACAGTGGCTCACACCCATAATCCCAACACTTTGGGAGGCTGAGGCAGCAGATCACCTGAGGTTGGGAGTTCGAGACCAGTCTGACCAACATGGAGAAACCCTGTCTCTACTAAAAGTACAAAATTAGCCAGGCGTGGTGGTGCATGCCTGTAACAGATCCCAGTAGTATGGGAGGCTAAGGCAGGAGAATCGCTTGAACCAAGAGGCGGAGGCTGCAGTGAGCCAAAATTGCGCCACTGCACTGCAGTCTGGGTGACACAGCGAAACTCAAGTCTCGAACAACAACAAATATTAGCTAGGCATGGTGGTGGGCACCTGTGGTCCCAGCTACTTGTAGGCTGAAACAGGAGAATCACCTGAACCAGGGAGGCGGAGGTTGCAGTGAGCTGAGATTGTCACACCATTGCACTCCAGCCCGGGCAACAAGAACGAAACTCTGACTCAAAAAAAAAAAAAAAAAAAAAAAAACACCCCACAAAACAAAAACAAAAAAAAAGCAAGAAATGGAAATATCAAGCCATGCATGGTGGAGTGTATCTGTAGTCCCAGCTCCTGGAGGTGAGGGAGAGGCTGAGGCAGGAGGATCACCTGAGCACTTAGCTCACTGCAACCCTTCCACATCAACCTCCTGAGTGCCTGGGACAAATGTATACAGGGCCACATAGAAAAGGGTGAAATTAGCTCCTACTTCACACATGTACACAAACTCCAGTTGTGTTCTAAATGGGACTAGAAAAATAAGCTTGTAGAAAATCATATGGAAGAGTAACTTCGTGGTCTCAAAGAAGGAAGATACTTAAGACACTTAAAGCCGGACGCGGTGGCTCAAGCCTGTAATCCCAGCACTTTGGGAGGCCGAGGCGGGTGGATCACGAGGTCGAGAGATCGAGACCATCCTGGTCAACACGGTGAAACCCCGTCTCTACTAAAAATACAAAAAATTAGCTGGGCATGGTGGCACGTGCCTGTAATCCCAGCTACTTAGGAGGCTGAGGCAGGAGAATTGCCTGAGCCCGGGAGGCGGAGGTTGCGGTGAGCCGAGATCGCGCCATTGCACTCCAGCCTGGGTAACAAGAGCGAAACTCCGTCTCAAAAAAAAAAAAAAAAAAAAAAAAAAAAAAAAAAAAAAATTAAAAGTACTAATTATAAAGAAAAGGTTGCTTTATTTACATTACAATTTTGGGGCTGGGTGCAATGGCTTATGCCTGTAATCCCAGTATTTTGGGAGACCAAAGCAGAAAGATCCTTTGAGCCCAAAAGTTCAAGATCATCCTGGGCAACGTACCAAGCCCCTCTGTCTACAAAACTAAAAACAATTAGCCAGACCAGGCTCAGTGGCTCACACCTGTAATTCCAGCAATTGGGAGGCCGAGGTGGATTACGAAGTCAAGAGTTCAAGATCAGCCTGGCCAATATGGTGAAATCCTGTCTCTACTAAAAATACAAAAATTTTCTTCATTCTTTATTCTGATGACTGTGTAAAAAAAAAAAAAAAAAAAAAAATTAGCTGGCCATGGTGGTGAGCACCTGTAGTACTAGTTACTCGGGAGGCTGAGGCAGGAGAATGACTTGAACCCGGGAGGCAGAGGTCGCGATGAGCCAAGATCCTGCCATTGCACTCCAGCCTGCGAGACAGAGCAAGACTCCATCTCAAAAAAAAAAAAAGGCCAGGTGTGGCGGTGCACACCTGTGGTCCTGTGGTCCCAGCTACTTGGGAGGCTGAGGTAGGAGAATGTCTTGAGCCCTAGAGGTCAAGGCTGCAGTGAGCCGTGATTGCACCACTGCATTCCAGCCTGGGCAACAGACTGACACCCCCTCAAAAGAAAACAAAACAATTAACAACTTCTGGTATTCAACACACCCTAAAGAGAGTGCAAAGACAAGCCACAGATGGGAAAAGGTATGAATAGCATGTAATCAAGAAAGGACTTATGTCCAAAACACAGAGAATTCCTGTAAATCACAATAAAAAGACCTTAATCAAATAGACAAATGGGCAAAAGACTTCAACATGCACTTCCTAAAACAAGAAACCCAAAAGACTAATAAACATGGACTAGGTGCCCAATCTCATTAGTAATTACATTAGTCATTAAATTACGGCCACATTGAGATATCTTTACACCTGTAAAGATATCTAAACACTACCTGGTGCTGATGAGGATTTAGAGCAATGAAAACCCTTGTTTCTGGTGGGAATATAAATTGGTACAACTACAATTTCAGAAAATAGGTTAGCGTCAGCTAGTATAGGTCAAAACATACATACCCTAAGACCCAGCCACTCCCCTTTCAAGGATATACCCTAGGAAAACTCATGTACATGTTGACCTGGATTCTGAACAAGAATGTTCACAGAGGCATTGTTCCTATTAGTCCTAACTGGGAACAACCTCAATGTCTATCTACAGGAGAACCAGAAAAATAAATTACACTATAGCCCTGTGATGAATATGTAGCAAAATACAGCACAGGGAGCAATGAAAAGGAAGGAATAGCTTGAAGGGCAACACACATGCATTTTGCAAACACAATGCTGAGCAAGAGAAACAAGACACACGAAAACAGATACTTCATCATGCTGTTTACGTAACGCTAAAAATCTGAGAGGCTGGCGGGGCAGCACATGCCTATAATGCCAGCTATTTGGGAGGCTGAGGCAAGATTGCTTGAGCCCAAAAGTTCGAATCCAGCCTGGGCAACAAGGCATCCCCCATCTCTAGAAAAGGGAAAAAGGGTGGGCACAGTGGCTCATGCCTGTAATCCCAGCACTTTGGGAGGCTGAGGTGGGAAGATCATTTGATCCCAGGAGTTTGAAACCTATCAGCTTAGGCTGATACAGCAAGCTCCAATATTTACAAAAAAAGAAAAAGGAAAAAAAAAATAACCAGCATGATGGCATGTGCCTGTGGTCATAGCTACTCAGAAGGCTGAGGTGGGAGGATTGCTTGAGCCTGGGAGGTCAAGACTCCAGTGAGCTGAGATGATACTACTGCACTCCAGCCTGGGTGACAGAGTGAGATTTTGTCTCTGGAAAAAAATCTCAAAAATAATTTTAAAAAGTCATTATGAATGACTAGAGAAATAGTAAGAAAAGCAGAAGTAGGAGAGTGATTATCTCTAGAGGGGCAGGAGGAAGACAATGGGAAGTACTGCAGAGAGGTCTGCTGGGGTCTTGGCAAAGCTCTATGCTTTGCACTGAGTGGTTCTAATAATTCATACTCTGTACATTTATGTTTTATATACTTCTATGCTTTATATTTGAAATTTTAAAAAACCATTAGAAAAAAAAAAAGCTAGAAACAATCTGGATATTTATCACCCAGAACACTGGTAGACAAAGGTACCCACTTTGTAAGAATATGTAAGAAATAGAATAAGAAAATGCAATGCATGAGTCAAAATTAATAATTCTATTTATATTTACAGATACATGAAGGGTTACCCAGGCTGGAGTGCAATGGCGCGATCTCGGCTCACCGCAACCTCCGCCTCCTGGGTTCAGGCAATTCTCCTGCCTCAGCCTCCCGAGTAGCTGGGATTACAGGCACGCGCCACCATGCCCAGCTAATTTTTGTATTTTTAGTAGAGACGGGGTTTCACCATGTTGACCAGGATGGTCTCGATGTCTTGACCTCGTGATCCACCCATCTCGGCCTCCCAAAGTGCTGGGATTACAGACTTCATCTCAAAAAAAAAAAAAAAAATGCAGGTACCCAAATACAAAAGCCCACATCAGAATCAAACAGAAAGATATATATACATATGATACACACACTACAGTGAGGGGGCTAATTGCATAAGAGCAGGTATCAGCAAACTTTTTCTTAAATGGCCGGTTCATAAATATTTTAGGTTTCATGGGCCTTATGGCAACCAATCAATCTGCCATTATAATTCAAAAGCAGCACAGACAAAAAGAAAATCAGTGGGTATAGTTATGAGTCATGTTCTTTTTTTCTGAGATGGAGTCTTACACTGTCGCCCAGGCTGGTGTGCAGTGGCACAATCTCGGCTCACTGCAACCTCTGCCTCCCAGGTTCAAATGATTCTTCCTGCCTCGGCCTCCCAAGTAGCTGGGATTACAGGCACATGCCACCATGCCCAGCTAATTTTTTGTATTTTTAATAGAGACAGGATTTCACTATTTTGGTCAGGCTGCTCTTGAACTCCTGACCTCAAGTGATCTGTCCGCCTCAGCCTCCCAAAGTGCTGAGATCACAGGCGTGAGCCATTGCACCTGACCACTTATAGTCTAATAGAACTACAGTGGCAAACACAAGGAATACACCAGGGCTGTAGTTTGTCAAGCCCTGGAAAAGAGTCTTGGGTTAAGGGAAAGGAATAAAGAAGGAAAATAATAAAGAGACGCCTTGCATGGACCAGTAACAGGAGGGCCTTAAAGTATTTTCTGCTCAATTCTAGGGAAATAAATTCCTTTAATGAAGAGGCAGTCAAATAAAGAAATAAAGAAAACGGTACCTTTTTGATGTAATTTTCTTCCACACTTACCTCCTTGCTGTCTGTCACAGGAACCCACTTAAATATCCTCAGGGACGTGTCACCCACAGTCACCCACTTTTTTCTCCCTAAAAGAAAGACACTTCTTAGAATCAATAAAGCAATGGTTTTCTGTTTATCATTTGTGCTTTTCTACTTCTCAGCAGATCATTCCTTCAATCTGGAATCCTTCTGAACTTCCTCTTGGTGGGGTATGATAGCTCACACCTGTAATCCCAGCACTTTGGGAGGCTGAGGCAGGAGGATCACTCAAGCTTAGGAGTTTGAAAATGGCCTGGGCAATTTAGCAAGACCTCATCTCTAAAAAGAATACAGGCCAGGTGCAATGGCTCACACCTGTAATCCCAGCACTTCAGGAGACCCAAGTAGGTGGATTGCTTGAGTCCAGGAGTTTGAGACCAGCCTGGCCAACATGGTGAAAAGCAGCTGGGCATGGTGATGTGTGCCTGTAATCCCAGCTACTCAGGAGGCTAAAGTGGGAGGATTCCTTGAGCTCAGGAGGCAGAGGTTGCAGTGAACTGAGATCATGCCACTGCACTCCAGCCTGGGCAACAGAGTGTCTGTCTCAAAAAATAAAAAGATGTGGGACACGTAGCACACACACACAGCACCGTATTTCTTTTTACTTGCACGAGTTACTCTGTGTGCTTGTCTCTTTTCCAAATGTACAAGTTCAATTACATTACTATTTTTGTTTGTTTGTTTTTTGAGACAGGATCTCATTCTGCCTCCCCGGCTGGACTGCAGTGGCACAATCGTAATTCACTGCAGCCTCGACTTCCTGGGCTCAAGCAATCCTTCCACCTCAGCCTCTTGAATAGCTGGGACTAGAGGTGCACGTCACCACACCCAGCCAATTTTTTATTTTTTGTAGAGATGGGGTCTCTCTTTGCTGCCCATGCTGGTCTTGAACTCTTGGCCTCAAGCAATCTACCCACCTTGGCCTCCCAAAATGCTTGGATTACAGGCATCGGTCACCACACCAGGCCTCCTGTCTCCATTTAAGGGTCCCTCCAAGGGAAAAACAATCCCAGGAGAGACAGACACCTGCTGCTGGGGGTAGGGCGTGGTGGCTGTGAAATGTTAGGACCCGTTCCCTTTCTGGGTTATTAAGACTGCATAAAGAAAGAGAAAATTCTGAAGAAATTTTTCAATTTCAACTTTGAAGTTCAATCCTTTGTAGAAATCCTTTTGTCTCTTGCTGTATTCCAAAGGGGTAAAAATGGCAGAGTTTATCAGTCCACTACACTCACAAAATAAGCAAAGGGATAAAAGATATAAAAGTCTTGCCCAAGCCGGGCGCGGTGGCTCAAGCCTGTAATCCCAGCACTTTGGGAGGCCGAGGCAGGTGGATCACGAGGTCGAGAGATCGAGACCATCCTGGTCAACATGGTGAAACCCCGTCTCTACTAAAAATACAAAAAATTAGCTGGGCATGGTGGCGTGTGCCTGTAATCCCAGCTACTCAGGAGGCTGAGGCAGGAGAATTGCCTGAACCCAGGAGGCGGAGGTTGCGGTGAGCTGAGATTGCGCCATTGCACTCCAGCCTGGGTAACAAGAGCGAAACTCTGTCTCAAAAAAAAAAAAAAAAAAAAAAAAAAAAGTCTTGCCCAAGGTCACTCTCTAAATCACTAAGGACCCCCAACCATCTACAGCAGATTCGAATGCCACTGTTCTCAGCTTGCCCACAAGAGTGCCTTCAATGTGCTTCCAGGTCTGCAAATAAATGTGTGGAGGACAGAGAACAAAGGAGACTCTAGGATTATTATTATTATTATTATTATTTTTTTTTAAATACGGGGTTTCAGCCGGGCGCGGTGGCTCAAGCCTGTAATCCCAGCACTTTGGGAGGCCGAGGCGGGCGGATCACGAGGTCAAGAGATCAAGACCATCCTGGTCAACATGGTGAAACCCCGTCTCTACTAAAAATACAAAAAATTAAGCTGGGCATGGTGGCGCGTGCCTGTAATCCCAGCTACTCAGGAGGCTGAGGCAGGAGAATTGCCTGAACCCAGGAGGCGGAGGTTGCGGTGAGCCGAGATCGCGCCACTGCACTCCCGCCTGGGTAACAAGAGCAAAACTCCGTCTCAAAAAAAAAAAAAAAAAAAAAAAAAAAAATGGGTTTCACCATATTGGTCAGGCTGGTCTTGAACTTCTGATCTCAGGTGATCCGCCCACCTCAGCCTCCCAAGGTGCTGGGATTACAGGCGTTGAGCCACTGTGCCCAGCTTCTTTTTTTTTTTTTGAGACGGAGTTTCACTCTTGTTTCCCAGGCTGGAGGGCAATGGCGCCAGTCACAGCTCCCTGTACCCTCTGCCCCCCGGGTTCAAGCGATTCTCCTGTCTCAGCCTCTTGAGTAGCCAGGATTACAGGCATGCACCAACATGCCTGGCTAATTTTGTATTTTTAGTAGAGATGGAGTTTCTTCACAATTGGTCAGTCTGGTCTCGAACTCCTGACCTCAGGTGATCCACCCAACCCGGCCTCCCAAAGTGCTAGGATTACAGACGTGAGCCACCGCACCTGGTTTTTTTTTTTCTTTTTGAGATAAGGTCTCACTCTGTCATCCAGGCTGGAGTGCAGTGGTGTGATCACAGCTCACTATGGCCTCAAAATCCCAGGCTCAGGTGAATCTCCCATCTCGGCCTCCCAAATAGCTGGGACTACAGGTGTGCACCACCATACCTAGCTAATTTTTTATATTTTTATTAAGGACAGAGTTTCACCATGTTGCCCAGGTTGGTCTTGCCTGGGCTCAAGAGATTCTCTTGCCTCGGCCTCCCAAAGTGCTGGGATTACAGATGTGAGGCACCACGTCCCCGCCTCTCCTTCATTCCAAGAAGGTTACTTCTTAAGCATGCCAGGCAGAGAACAAATGTGCTTATTTTAAGGGCCACTGATGCCTTAAGAGGTGCTTGCTGTCAGTAGAAGCAAGGGCCAAATGCAGGGAGCTGCTTTATCACAGATCTGAACTAGCTTCTCAGAGTCAATTCCAAACATGAAGTCACAAAAAAGCGAAAAAAAAAAAAAAAAAAAAAAACCCACCAAAAAACAAAAAATGCAACTGTTGTTGCAGTTGTGGATGCTGTTCAGCTAATGATGCCATAATGGGGCCTGGCACGGTGGCTTGAGCCCATAATCCAAGCACTTCGGGAGGCTGAGGTGGATGGATCACTTGAGCCCAGGAGATCAATACACATTAGCCAGGTGTGGTGGCACATGCCTGTAGTCCCATCTACTTAGGAGGCAGAGGCAGAAGAATCACTTGAACCCCAGAGGCTGAGGCTGCAGTGAGTCAAGATCCGGTCACTGTACTCCAGCCTGGGTGACAGACCATGACTGGGTCTCAAAGAAACAACAAAAAAAGGCATACTGGGACTGTAAAGAGACCATGACGTAACAGAAAGAATGAATTAAAGTCTTAGAAAGTAACTAGAATTAATTCCTCAAGAGACCACTCCATTTCCTCACTTAATCAACCAGTCAGTATACAAGAGGCTGTGCAAGGCCCTGGCAATGCGGGGGACGAGTTCCACCGTCGCTGCCCTCACAAATCCTGTCTTATATCTGGAAACAGACATGAATAGCTCACTTCAAAATGAGTCAATCATTAGGTTTAACCATATCAAATTGCCATTTTTGTACGTTAATTAGTCAAATACAGGAGGCCAGGGGCAGTAGCTCACACTTGTCATCCCAGCGCTTTGAGAGGCTGAGGCGGGAGGACCACTTGAAGTCAGGAGTTCAAGACCAGCCTGGCCAACATTGGTGAAATCCAGTATCTACAAAATATAAAAACTAGCTGGGTGTGGTGGTGTACACTTGTAACCTCAGCTACTCAGGAAGCTGAGGGCAGGAGAATTGCTTGAGCCCAGAAGTGGAGGTTGCAGTGAGCAGAGATCGCAGCTCTGCACTCAGCCTGGGTGACAGAACAAGACTCAGTCTCAAAAAAATAAGTCAGGCCGGGCGCGGTGGCTCAAGCTTGTAATTCCAGCACTTTGGGAGGCCGAGGCGGGTGGATCACGAGGTCGAGAGATCGAGACCATCCTGGTCAATATGGTGAAACCCCGTCTCTACTAAAAATACAAAAAATTAGCTGGGCACGGTGTGCATGTGCCTGTAATCCCAGCTACTCAGGAGGCTGAGGCAGGAGAATTGCCTGAACCCGGGAGGCGGAGGTTGCGGTGAGCTGAGATCGCGCCATTGCACTCCAGCCTGGGTAACAAGAGCGAAACTCCGTCTCAAAAAAAAAAAAAGTAAGTAAGTCAAATACAGGAAATATCTTACGGATCCACCTAATACAACCGTGGAAAGTTCTATGAAGGGGACTTAATCTAGACTGGGAATCTCAAGTGGTCAACCTAATGAAGCAACTTTTGAGCTGAGCTGGGAGTTAACTCGGCAAGGGGGAGGAGAGGAGAGACGAAGTATGCCAGGCAGGAGGAAGAACAGAGTGACTTCACTGCAAAGACAGTGGGCATCCTGGGAAAGAGCCAGCCAGGTGAGGCAGGAAGGAGGACCTTTTTCAATATTTATCCTAAAAGCAAGAAGGGACCACTGAAATCTTTCTAGGGGTGCTACAATAAGATGCATATTGTGTGTATGTATACATATATATAATTTTTTTTTTGAGACAGAGTTTTTTTTTTTTTTTTTTGAGACGGAGTTTCGCTCTTGTTACCCAGGCTGAAGTACAATGGCGCGATCTCGGCTCACCACAACCTCCGCCTCCTGGGTTCAGGCAATTCTCCTGCCTCAGCCTCCTGAGTAGCTGGGATTACAGGCACACGCCACCATGCCCAGCTAATTTTTGTATTTTTAGTAGAGACGGGGTTTCACTATGTTGACCAGAATGGTCTCGATCTCTTGACCTCGTGATCCACCCGCCTCGGCCTCCCAAAGTGCTGGGATTACAGGCTTGAGCCACCGCGCCCGGCCGAGACAGAGTTTTGCTCGTCGCCCAGGCTGGAGTACTGTGGCTTGATCTTGGCTGACTGCGACCTCTGCCTCCCAGGTTCAAACAATTCTCCTGTCTCAGCCTCCTGAGCAGCTGGGATTACAGATGCGTGCCACCATGCCTGGCTAATTTTTTTGTATTTTAGTAGCGACGGGGTTTCACGATGTTGGTCAGGATGGTTTCGATCTCCTGACCTCATGATCCCCCTGCCTCAGCCTCCCAAAGTACTAGGATTACAGGCATGAGCCACTGCACCCGGCCTGTATTTTTAACAGATAGGGTCTCACTCTGCTGCCCAGGCTGGAGTGCTGTGGCATGATCATAGCTCACTGCAGCCTTAACTCCTGGCCTCTAGCGATCCTACCACCACAGCCTCCTAAATAAGGCTGTGCATTTAAAAAAGATCGCTCTGCTACTTGGAAGAGAGAAAAATAAAATGACTCAGTGCGAATTAATGGATTGGGAAATGAGCAAGAGCAGAAGCAGAGAGGTTACAGGGAGGCTGGCAGAGAGTTGCAGGTGACAGAGGATGGTCCCTTCAGCCTAGCCTGCTAGGGGCGAGGGGTCAAAGACGGGGAGAAGAAAAGGGTGTGGCTGTTCTTAGGTCTCACCAAAACCTCGGAGGATTAAAGGTGGAGAAGGAAAACCATGAATAATTTAAACTAGTATTTATACTGAAACTCCTAATACAGGAAACCCTCAGACATAAACAGAGAAGGAACTTCCCTTTTGTGGGGAAATGGACAGAGAAACACACGAATAAAGTCCAGGGTACCAGTGACTTTTTTTTTTGAGACGGAGTTTCACTCTTATTGCCCAGGCTGGAGTGCAATGGCATGATCTCGGCTCACTGCAACCTTTGCTTCCCATGTTCAAGCGATTCTCCCGCCTCAGGCTCCCGAGTAGCTGGAGATTACAGGCATGTGCCACCATGCCTGGCTAATTTCGTATTTTTAGTAGAGATGGGGTTTCTCCATAGTTGGCCAGGCTGGTCTTGAACTCTGACCTCAGGTGATCTGTGAGCCACCATGCCCAGCCCCAATGACCTTAAAGGGGGTGAAGGGTGAGGGGTGGCAGGCGTTATAAAAGGTCTCCTGGTGGGAGGTAACATCTACTTGAACTTTTATTTTTTGTAGAGACGGGGTCTCACTATGTTACCCAGGCTGGTCTCGAACTCCTGGCCTCAAGCAATCCACTGGCCTCAGCCTCCCAGAGTGCTGGGATTACATGCCTGAGCCACTTCACCTGGCCTTAACTGGGTTTTAAAATTATTGGTAGTACTTTGCTAGACAAAAGGGCTGACGAAGTTGGCTGTGAAAGTTTGTTTATTTTTGAGATGAAGTCTTCCTCCACCGCCCAGGCTGGAGTGCAGTGGCATGATCTTGGCTCACTGCAACCTCCGCCTCCCAGGTTCAAGCAATTCTCCTGCCTCACTCAGCCTCCCTAGCAGCTGGGACTACAGGCACATGCCACCATGCCCAGCTAACTTTTTATATTTTTAGTAGAGGTGGGGTTTTACCGTGTTAGCCAGGATGGTCTTGATCTCCTGACCTTTCAATCCTCCCACCTCGGCCTCCCAAAGCTGTGAAAGTTCAAGTGTGATGACTCTGATACACACCGATACACAGTGTGTACTGGAGTTCCGGATATAAAATGTGCTCAGTCAGCGTCTTCCATGAACTGAATTTCAGTCATGGGGTCTTACTCCGTCGCCCAGGCTGGAGTGCTGTGGCACGATCATAGCTTACTGCAGCCTCCAAATCCTGGGCTCCAGCAATCTTCCCATCACAGCCTCCCAAGTAAGAATGTGCACTTTACTCTATTTATTTATTTCTCATTAGTAGTAGATCCAAAAGGATGTGCACTTTAAAAAGACCACTCTGGCTCGGCGCGGTGGCGCGTGCCTGCAGTCCCAGCTACTGGCTCGGCTGAGGTGGGAGGATCGCTTGAGCCCAGGAGTTCTGGGCTGTAGTGCGCTATGCCGATCGGGTGTCCGCACTAAATTCAGCATCAATATGGTGACCTCCCGGGAGCGGGGGGCCACTACGTTGCCTAAGGAGGGGTGAACCGGCCCAGGTTGGACACGGAGCAGGTCAAAACTCCCGTGCTGATCAGTAGTGGGATCTCACCTGTGAACAGCCACTGCACTCCAGCCTGGGAAACATAGCGAAACCCCGTCTCTTAAAAAATAAGTAAATAAAAATAAATGTGGGGGAAAAAAAGACCACTCTGCTACTTGGACGTGGGAAAAATAAAAACACTCAGTGCAAACGATGAAGGGACTGGGGAACGAGCAAGAGCTGGAGCAGGGAAATGAGAGGGAGGTTGGTACATAGTTTGCAAAGGACTCTCCTGACAGCCGTCCGGGCGGCAAGAAAAGATGCCTAGGAAGCTCGCGGCGCAGGAGCCGGGCACTGGGGAAGGGAGCGGTTTCCCTCGGGACCACACCAGGCTCGCTCGTTTTGACAGGTAGACTGACCCAGAAACTCAACCAACTACGCAGAGCGCTCAGCCGGGCGGGCTGAAAGCACTCCAGGGCTACTCGCTGTTATCAAGGGGCATATTGGAAACGCCGGCAGGGCCGCGGTCCCGGAAAAGCAGAGGGCGGGACCCCGGCTGGGCCGGGAGCGGGATGTAGGCCCCGCAGCTCCAGCCCGGGCCGGAAGCCGGCATCCCCTAGCCGGCGGCGCGCGGCCGCAGCCGCAGGTGGGCGGGCCCGCGAGCCGGGCAGCCCGCTGATTGGCCGCGGCCGGCGCGCCCTCTGACCTCACGCCGACGCCAGAGGCACCCCACTCCCGCCTTCTCCTGCGCCCCCCTCCCCCCAGCGCCGGCCGGCCGGCTCCCACCTGGGCCGCCAGTCCCGCGCTCCTCAAAGCCTGTATCCGCGACCCCCGCCAGCCCCTAGGCTCGGGGCCCTCACCATTTTCGCACTTTCTCGATGGCCGCCATCACCTTCTTGATGTCGTCCTTGGCCCGGCTGCGGGTCTCCGCCCGGACCGACCGGCCCGACATGGCGGCGGCGGGAGCGGCGGGGGCCGGGGCACTGCTCCCAAGATACCGGAGATCGCGCGCCTCACGCGCCGCCGCCCGCCCGCCGCCGCCGCCGCCGCCGCAGCGTCACCCGGGCCGTCGCCCCCTCCGTGCGCGCGTGCGCGAGGAAGCGCGCGCACCCGCCCGCCCCTTGGGGCTCGCGGCCTCAGCGCGCCTGCGCGCCCCGCCCCAGGCGTCCCTTCCCGAGCGCCCCGGGAGTTCCCTGGGGCCCCTCCCGGGCCGGGGTGCGAGGCGGGCCGGGCGCACGTGCTGTGGTCAGGGCGAGGTGCGAGGCGCTGCCGGTGGGCTCCCTGGTTTTTTTTCCCCGGGAGTTTGGAGGTTGCCTCCTTCCTGCTCTGGCCAGCATGTTAGGGACCTGACCCTTTGGAATCGCACTCGCCCTCCGGCTCTACCGCTGTTCTCCAACCACACCTTTTTCTTAAGGATGCCTTCAGGCCTTTGCACACACCTGTTCCTCACCTAGAATCCTCTCCTGTCTTCACCAGATGAACTGCTTTTCCAACATTCAAGCCACATTCTTGCCTTTTCTTGGGTATATAGTAGTCCCAAGAATTTGGGAGGCTGAGGCAGGAGGATAGATTGAGCCCAGAAATTCGAGGCTGCAGTCACCTACGGTATAATCGCACCTGTGAATAGCCACTGCACTCCAGCCTGGGCAACATGGAGACCCCGTCCTTAAAATAAATAAATAAAAAGATGCCTATTTTGTGCAAGACTCTACCAAAAGCTGAAGACATACGTGGTTTTGGTTTCAAAGAGCTTCCAGTTTGTTTGTTTGAGACAGAGTCTCTCTCTGTCTCCCAAGCTAGAGTGTAGTGGTGCAATCTCGGCTCACCTCCCAGGTTCAAGCAATTCTCTGCTTCAGCCTCCTGAGTAGCTGGGATTACAGGCAGCCACCACACCATCCAGCTAATTTTTCTGTATTTTTAGTAACTAAAGACGGGTTTTCACCATCTTGGTCAGGCTGGTCTGGAACTCCTGACCTCGTGATTCACCCATCTTGGCCTCCCAAAGTGCTGGGATTACAGATGTGAGCCACTGTGCCCAGCCCAGTGTATTTATGTTAAGATGGAATCTCACTATGTTGTCCAGACTGGTCTTGAACTTCTGGCCTCAAGGGATCCTCTCAAAGTGCTGAGATTACAAGTGTGACCCACTGTGACTGGCTTAGCTTCCAGTTTAGTAGAACATTCAGACAAAAACCAAAACCAAAACCATTTATTTTTTACTTTTATTTATTTTTTGGTATAGGGCCTTGCTGAAGTGATCGTTCTGCCTCAGCCTTAGCCTTTTGTGTAGCTGAGACTACAGGTGAGGGCCACATTGCCTGGCTTTTTTTTTTTTTCTTTTTCTTTTTTATAGCAACAGGGTCTTCCTTTGTTGCTCAGGCTGGTCTTGAAGTTCTGGACTCAACTGATCCTCCTGCCTTGGCCTCCCACAGTGCTGGGAATTACAGACATGAGTCACTGCATCCAGCTTCCCAAAGCATATTTGAAATGCTATTTGATAAATGCTAGCCTAGGCTGGGTGAGGTGGCTCACGCTTGTAATCCCAGCACTTTGGGAAGCAAAGGTGGGTGGATCATTTGAGGTCAGGAGTTCAAGATCAACCTGGCCAACCTGGTGAAACCCCTGTCTCTACTAAAAATACAAAATTAGCTACTCAGAAGGTTCAGGCAGGAGAATCACTTGAACCCAGGAGATAGAGGTTGCAGTGAGCCAAGATCACACCATTGCACTCCAGCCCGGGCAGTAAGAACAGAGCTCTGTCTCCGAAAAATAAATAGGCCAGGCATGGTGGCTCACACCTGTAATCCCAGCACTTTGGGAGGCTGAGGCGGATGGATCACCTGAGGTCAGGAGTTCGAGACCAGCCTGACCAACAGGGAGAAAACCCGTCTCTATCAAAAATATAAAATTAGCTGAGCATGGTAGCATGAGCCTGTAATCCCAGCTACTTGGGAGGAGGCTGAGTCAGAAGAATCTTTTGAACCTGGGAGGCAGAGGTTGTGGTAACCCGAGATGGTGCCATTGCAGTCCAGCCTGGGCAACAAGAGTGAAACTACATCTCGAAAACAAATGAATAAATAAAATGCTATTTGATAAATGCTTGCCTAAGTGGGGTGGGAGAGGGGGAGTGTAACAAGCTATGGCTTTTATTCCTAGTCTTCAGTAAAGAAAAAAAAAAGGTGCTATGATAACCCTAATCTTGGAGCTGACCTCTAAAAACAGGGTAGGTCCTGTTAGTCCCGGGCCAGTGTTCACAGATGCTACATTAAATGTGGTTTGCGTGAATGTTGAATTCAGTGCAAGCTCCCTTTTTATTTGCCCCCATCCGCTTGGAGGCAGGTATCACCCATGCTTACAGTATGCAGAAAGGGTCCTGTAGCAGCTGTTTCAGGACACAGCTTGGGACAGGAAGCAGGTTGGTAATGGCTGCTCTCACCTGTAGAGAAACTAATTTCCATGTGCCCCAGAGAAATGCCTAGTTAGCCCTGAACTTGACACAGCCTCTGATTATGAGTCAGCCTTTCATGATCAACCAACATAGGGGGAGCATATGTCATCTTACTGTCGAGGGGGCTAGAAATAGCTTCTGCCTGACTGAGGAGTTCCAAAACTGAACCAGCATGTGGAGTGAAAAGATGATTCTAGAAATAATGGGATCAAAGGTGGCACATCTATTGTTCAGACCCAGCCGATCCAAAACAACCAAAGACTGCCTGAGCACTTGCTCTATGCCCTAGCACACTGGACACTGAGGGTGATACGAAGTTGAGTGAGGCACACTCCCTGCCCTTGAGGTGAAGATGAGGAAAGCAGAAGGGCAGAACACCTGTGCCAGCCCTTGAGACGTCTCCAGTTCTGCCCATAGGTCCCCCCGGTCAGGCCCACAGCCCCTGTCTGTCTCGGCCTTGTCCACATCCTCCCACTTGAAGTTTCTTGTCTGTAGCTTCCCTCTCCTCCGCAGCCCAGCGCTCCTCCCAGCTGCACAGGTCCCCTGCATCCAGCTCTCCCCCAGCTCACCCAGCCAGTCGCCCTTCTAGGGCAAAGTCTCAGGGATTCCTCCAATCTTGTGCCCTCCCTGCATCTGTCCACCTGGTCCTACATTCCCCACCTCATCTCCCGCCGGGGCTCGGTCTGTGTAAGAGAATGATCAAAGTCGGCACTTCTGAGGCTACTCAGATGCCCTCTGTCGACTCCCCTCCCCCTTCCCCCTTCCTTTCCCTTCCTTTCCTTGGACGAAGTTTTGCTCTTGTCGCCCAGGCTGGAGTGTGCAGTGGTGTGATTTCAGCTCATTGCAACCTCTGCCCCCCAGGTGCAAGTGATTCTCCTGCTTCACCCTCCCCAGTAGCTGGGACTATGGGTACCTGCTGCCCCGCTTGCCTAATTTTTTTTTCGAGGTGGAGTCTTGCTCTGTCACCCAGGCTGGAGTGCAATGGCCTGCTCTTAGCTCACTGCAACCTCTGCCTCTTGGGTTCAAGTGATTCTCCTGCCTCAGCCTCCCAAGTAGCTGGGATTATACGCTAAATTTTTGTATTTTTAGGCTAATACTAATTTTTTTGTATTTTTAGTAGAGATGGAGTTTCACCATGTTGGCAGGCTGGTCTTGAAATTCTGACCTCAGGTGATCCACCCACCTTGGCCTCCCAAAGTGTTGGGATTAAAGGCAGGAGCCACTGCACCTGGCTTGACACCCTTTTTTTTTTTTGTTTAAAAAAAAAAAAAATCACACCTTAGCTGGACGAAGAGGCATGTGCCTGTATCCCAGCTACTTGACAGGCCAAGGTGGGAGGATTCCTTGAGCCCACGAGTTTAAGGCTGCAGGAAGCTATAATCACACGACTGCACTTAGCCTACGCAACACAGTAAGATACTATCTCTTAAAAAAAATTCATGTCTTGCCATTTTCTAGGTGAAAAGCTTGTGCTAGGTGAGCTGCAGAGGTGATACGGAGATCCCAACCCAGATCTCTACCTTGGGCGACTTGCATTCAAGGGCTTGGCTGCTTTTCTCACTTTGAATACAAGCTACAGTGGCCTAGAAGGCCCCATCCATTCCCACACATCATCCTGCTAATTTTCTGACCTCACCTCCTACAACTCTACCTGTGCTGTCTCTGCTCCAAATCCTCTTGCTGCTCTGAAAGCGCACTCCAGCTCCTGCCTCAGGTCTCTGCACTTCAGCTTCCCCTGCTGTCGCACCCATCCACCATATATTTGCATGGCTTCCTCCCTTACCTCCTGAAGGTCTTTATTCAAATATTATCTTCTCAGCCAGGCGAGGTGGCTCACACCAGTAATCCCAGCACTTTGGGAGGCAGAGGTGGGTGGATCACTTGAAGTCAGGAGTTTGAGACTGGCCTGACCAACACAGTGAAACCTTATCTCACTAAAAATACTAATTAGCTGACAGTGGCGTCTCATGCCTATAAACCCAGCTACTTGGGAGGCTGAGGCAGGAGAGCTGCTTGAACTCGGGAGGTGGAGGTTGCAGTGAGCCAACCTCCTATTAGTTCTCCTATTAGTTCTGTCCCTCTAGAGAACCCTGACTAATACAACCACTTAATATCCTCTTTTGTTTTTCTGGCCAGGCGCAGTGGCCCACACCTGTAATCCCAGCACTTTGGGAGGCTGAGGGAGTGGATCATTTGAGATTAGGAGTTCGAGACCAGCTGGCCAACATGGAGAAACCCTGTCTACTAAAAACACAAAAATTAGCTAGGTGTGGTGGCATGTGCCTGTAATCCCAGCTACTAGGGAGGCTGAGGCAAGAGCAATCACTTGAACCTGAGAGGTGGAGGCTGCAGCGAGTAGAGACTGTGCCGCTGCACTCCAGCCTGGGAGACAGAGTGAGACTCCGTCTCAAAAAAAAAAAAAAAAAAAAAAAAAAAAGCCAGCTGATTAGCAACCTTAATTCCTGCTACTGTAATTCCCTATTGTCATATAACCCAACAAATTCCCAGGTTTAGGATGTGGAGTTCAAGGATTAGGATGTGAATATCTTTGGGGAATCATTACTCTGTTCCCACATCATAGAATTCTGTCCATGCCAGCGGAAAAACAAAGCATATGGTATAGGTATACACCTATATAAATATATATGTACACACACACACACACACACACAAATATATGTTTAAGAGACTGAGTCTTGCTTTCTTGCCCAGGTTGGAGTGCAGTGGCACAATCATAGGTCACTGCAGCCTTGAACTCCTGGGCTCAAGTCACCCACCAACTTCAGCCTCCTGAGTAGCCGGGACCATAGGCACACGCTACCATGCCTGGCTAATTATTAAATTTTTTTGTAGAGATGGGGGTCTCACTATGTTACCCAGCCTGGTCTTGAACTCTTGGCCTCAAGCATTCCTCCCACCTTGGCTTCCCAAAATGTTAAGATTATA